ACAGAATGAATGTGGTCTAAGAACTTAAAAATTTTTAATTTACCTATTCAAACCATATCATTATTATTTGCTTTTATATATAAATCAGAAATAACCAACTTAAATTGGAAAATTTTAAAGAAAAAAAAAGGAAAAAATTAAGGAAAAAAAAAAAAAGGAAAAAAAAATCCCCCCCCCCAAATTTTTTGAACCCCCTTATGATTCATCACCCCCAAACTCAATCCCAGCCTTCCCTTTGTGGTATGGTACCTTGCAGTACAATTTCAGAGAGATCAATACACTTGAACACAAGTTATTAGATATAGGAAGATGTGGTATGAGTGCCAATGAGACAACTCTCCATCCAAGTAACAATTTATAAAAGTAAACCATTATAGGTCAAGGTACGGCCTTCAACACGGAGCATTGGCTCACACCGAACAGCAAGCTATAAAGGGCCCCACAAATTACTAGTGTAAAACCATTCAAACGGGAAAACCAACGGTCTAATCTATATAAAAACGAGAAACGAGAAACACGTATGAACTACATCAACAGACAACTACTGTACATCAGATTCCTGACTTAGGACAGGTGCAAACATTTGCAGCGGGATTAAACGTTTTAATAGTACCAAACCTTCTCCTTTTTCTGAAACAATAGTAAAACATCCCAACATAGAAAGACACACTATAAAATATCATTTTTCTAGTTTCCAGACAATATTATTGTCTGGAAACAAGAAAAATGCTTGTTTTTTGGACCCTTTTTGGCCCCAAATTCCTAATCGTTTAGGGCAATTACCCCCCAAACTCAAACCCAGCTTTCCCTTTGTGATATGGAAACTTGTAGTACAATTTCATAAAGATCCATACACTTACACACAAGTTATTGTCCTGAAACTAGAAAAATGCTTGTTTTTTGTATCTTTTTGGCCCCTTATTCCTAAAATGTTGAGGCAATTGCCCCCAAAATCAATCCAAGCCTTCCCTTTGTGGTATGGTACCTTGCTGTACAATTTCAGAGAGATCCATACACTTGAACACAAGTTATTGTCTGTAAACGAAAAATGCTTATTTTTGGCCCCTTATTCCTAAACGTTTTGGACAATTACCCCCAAACTCAATTCCAGCTTTCCCTTTGTGATATGGAACCTTGAAGTACAATTTCAGAAAGATCCATACACTTACACACAAGTTATTGTCATGAAACTAGAAAAATGCTTGTTTTTTGCCCCCTAATTCCTAAAATTTTGAGGCAATTACCCCCAAAATCAATCCCAGCATTCCCTTTGTGATATGGAACCTTGTGGTACAATGTCAGAGAGATCCATACACTAACACACAAGTTATTGTCTGGAAGTTACAAAATGCTCATTTTTGGCCCCTAATTCCTTAACTGTTGGTACCATAACCCCCAAAATCAATCCCAACCTTCCTTTTGTGGTATTGAACCTTATGGTAAAATTTCATAGAGATCCATTCACTTAAACTAAAGTTATTGTGCGAAAACCAATGTGTCTTCTGACGACGACGACGCCAACATCATACCAATATACGACCTTTTGCGGTCGTATAAAAAATGAAAACACTGTAATTTTCATGCGTCGGAAGTTCTTTTCTGGAATAATCTTCTTAAAGAATGCTCAATGCTAAATATTTGAAAGCCAAAGCTGTATAAGAATCAAAACAGTTGAGCTATATCACCAAAATGGACCTAAAAATAAAAGCCAAATCCTTCTAAGGTCATCTTTGTCTCAGGGAGTTGAAACCTAATAGTTTCTTAATAATTTTATAATTTATAAACAGACAATTTAAGAAAGGTTTGTTATAAATCATGTCAATACTCAAGTATTGATTACTGATACCCTTAGGGGCTGGTAGTCCACATGCAGTGGTATCATTTTACTCTTGCTAACTGCTTTAATTATTGAAAGTCAAGCCAAAAAGTGCATTTTACCCTAGGCCTATGTTCTTTTTTAAGCATCAGTGGCCAAGTCTTTCTAAACTAGATACTCTAAGAAGCATTCAGATAAAGTCTGGTAAATTTGGCCTTCTAGTTTGACAGATTTTTTTTAATTTTAGGATGAAGGATGCTAAGTGTTGGTATTAAGCTACTTTTCAGCAGAAATTGTGTATTTTGTATGAAAATGAATGTTGTTTTTTTTTGTTCAACTGATACACAATACACAATCAATAGGCAATACACAATCTGTTCCTTGAACTGCTTTTCCAAATTAACATGTGACACAAGTCACACAACATACATGTACACACACTGGCCTCTAAAAACACTGCAAAGGATCTCATTTGTGTTGAGAGCACAATGTAGCACAAAAGTGAATAAAAAAACCACAAAGGACCTAAACGTGTTTTTATCCCATATGTATGCAGTGTGCGTCTTTTGAAATATTAACTTGAATCCATTCAAACAATTTCTACAAGTTCACAAGTTGTGGCTATCCCTTTTGTCTGGTTGATCAGAAATAAATTAGTCATAAACTAAACTTAACCGAATGACTGAAAAAATAAAATCATGTGAAATACCCTAATTTCAGAAACCTCTTTCCTGTCACTGGCATTTGCCGTCCAGATTTAAACTAGATTTAAGTGAAAAGATCTAATAATTGAGCAGATACACCTGCTTGCAGAAAAAAAAACAGTAACTTAATTACCAAAATTAAAAATGAATGTGACCAGTATTTTGTGTTTCATAAATTAAGTGTTAAAATCAAAAAAGCTTTTGTCAAAAATTACTTCATTATCATCTGGAAATAAGAAAGTTAAATGTTTAAGGTAACTTAGGGGCATAACTGTTGAACAGCTATTCTCAAAACCATCAAAATGGACCTTGAACAGTTTTTCGATGATCCATGATATTATGTACAATTTCAAAGGATTGGGTCAAGTGGTACTATAATTATCATCCAGAAATCAAAGAAATAACATTTTCAAAGGCAAGCCTCAAATCTTGAACAGTAATTGTGAAAAAAATCAAAATCTAACTTGACCTGTACTTTTATGGTCCATGACATTCTCAAATAAATTTCATTAACGAGTCTATTCATATAATATTACTATAACTTCTATCCCTTAAATATTTAGGCTTAAACAAAACTAACAATATATTCATGTAGCTGATAACCCAGACAGCTCGTCTAGACACCAGATTTTAATGATTTTTAAAACAATATCCATGTATACGAATTGTAAGCAGAACAAAAAATTTGCAAAAGCAAATTTACAGATCTAACATTGTTGGGCTGATGTTTAGACAGTTGTATATACAGAATGTACACAGCCATGTATCACCATCACTGCTGGTGATCCGATGGATAAATCTGTTGTAGAGTTCACTGGTTCAGACGTACTTACAAATTGTAAGCATATATACATAAAAGATAATCATAAAAATCATAATTGATGAAATGCTTCTATGCTGTATTTTAAGTAAAATACCAAATAATGACAAAATCTCTTATCAACAATCTCCCTGCCAGGAACAACCATGACAACCGACTAAAACGAGTGAACTTGGTCAAACTTCTTTAAAAACTGAATTTGTAGTGGGAAAATGTTGGAAACCTGAGTCCAAAACCTAATGCTCTGAAGACCGTCTCAGGAAGTATACTTTAGACAGTATAAAAAAATGTATAATTATTCAGAACAAAACAATTGATAAAATATAAATTATATCAAACTCAGCTAAAAAAAAAATTTAAAAAATTGTAAAAAGGAGCATAACTCTAGAAAAGTGACTCACTGCCCAAATTTGCAATTTTCCAACTGATAAAGGGGCAATACTCTTAAAAGTTAGTGCGGAAACAAAAATGGGACAAATGGAACAACAAGAGGACAGAAGGACGTAAAGGGTAACACTTAATGCCTCCTTTCCCTATGGCAGGGGCATAAAAAAAGGAAAAAATTCGGAAAAGATATATATCTAATTTTAACAATGGTGAAAGCCAAAATATACATTTCATTTTTTCTTTTATTTTAAGATTCTCCATTCTTAACTTCTGGAAGTGTTTTGACTAGACATGGACCATTATTAATATATCTAAAAGAGAAGGTCTTCAAATAAAAGTGGTCCATTTCAATTAATTTTCAAAGTACCAATTAAATCTAGCCACAGGGGAAAAAAAACAATGAATACAATCTGAACTATGAACTCAAAACAAAACTATACATACCAATAAACTGTTAACACAGAGATATGTCTCGCCTATTTGTTATTTTGATAATGCAAATGTTGAAATTAAAATAACAATACTTTTACATGCAAGTTATGAGATTACCCCCAGTTTTTGGTGGGGTTCGTGTTGCTTAGTCTTTAGTTTTCTATGTTGTGTCATCTGTACTATTATTTGTCTGTTTGTCTTTTTATTTTTGGCCATGGCGTTGTCAGTTTGTTTTTCGATCTATGAGTTTGACTGTCCCTCTGGTATCTTTCGTCCCTCTTTTATGCAAATATTCAAAGTCAATGAACCATGACTAAAGGTACAGGGCTAAACAATCTCCATGGAAATGAGATGTGCCAATGCTAATACAACTGCATACCAAATACCATTGACTTTTCATTAGTCATTCCCTTTAAAGAAACCTAAACACAAATATTAACTTGTAAACTAAGCAAAAGTTTCAAAGTCAATAGACCATGACTGAAGGGGCGGGGCCAAAAAATTTCATGGAAATGAGATATGCCAATGCTTATATTATTACAACTGCATACCAAATATCATTGACCTACCACTAGTGGTTCCCCATAAACTGACCTAATCACAAACTAATACATGAAAACTAAGCAAAGTTTCAAAGTCAATAAACCATGACTGAAGGGGCGGGGCCAAAATATCTTCATGGTAATGAGATGTGCCAATGCTAATTCAACTGCATACCAAATATCATTGATCTACCACTAGTGGTTCACCATAACCTAGACATAATCACAAACTAATACATTGTTGAAGCCGGAAACAGCATACCTATGTCTCGCTTTTTGACAAAAACCAGTTCAGTATCAATATGCATGACAAAACAATTGTCAAGAATGGACATGAGTAGAGCTACCTGAATATATCCTTTGGTTTTAATGGTAAAAAGAGAGATTTTAAAATTCAAAATAAGTTATCTATAACTTACAATCTTGTTGAAAATGGAGAATCTTTACACTATTTTTTTTTTGTAAAAAATTATAAACATTTTCTCAAACATACACAAAAATTGTCTGAATTACATTCTTTACTGGTACAGTCACCCAATCATTTTCATTCTGCCACAGATAAAGTTACCTGAAAAAGAAATATTCATTCTTAACATATCTGTCAAAACTATGTGAAAATAATTGAAACAATATTTAATGCAAAAGAATAATTAACTGGACATTACAATTATGATGCATATAACATTTCTTTACCTAGCTTTAAAGTGACTCGTGGACATAACTTTTAGACTACCAGTCTTTGTTGGCAAAAAAAGATGAAAAACAAGTCGTTGTTGGTGTCTATCATATTTTTTGTTTGTTTATTGTTTTATCCTATATCAAGTCATTGGTTTTCTCATATGAATTATTTCACATTTTCCATGTTGGGGCCTTATATAGCTTACAATACAGAATAGGTTTTGCTCATTGTTGAAGACCATTAAATGGCCTTCTATAGTTGCTAACATCCTTGTCATGTGGTTTCTGGTTGATTAATGTCTAATTGGCAATCATACTATATTTCTTAATTTCTATATAGTGGGATTAATTTAGATAAAAAAAACAGAGAAGATATCTAAAATTCAAATCTTTGACTTCCTTTCTTTGTTTCTTGATACCCCCTTCCAAATTATACATACACTTATAACATGAAAAATTCTAGTGACATGCTCTAAATTGAATAGTTCATAAATCTATGTACTGAATCTTACCATAAGTGTCAGCTCCAATGGCCATTCCCAACCTCAATCCTTACGGACAAGCTGTGATGTTAACCTGAAATGTAAAATGCCTCATCATCAAAAATTGTTTAAACTTATCATTGTTGGTATACTTATATATATTTAATATAAATACTAGTAGTCTATAAATGTGTAATAGATGTTGAGAACATGTGGATTAGACAGCTATCCAGCAACCCAGCAAACTTTTATGTAATTACATCAGATCCTAAAATTAACTTATATACTGGTACTGATAAATGAGAGAGAAGACCTGACCAACTCCTAAAAGCCTAGAGAGAATTTTCCAAAGAAATTTTATAATACATTTGGGTTTTTTTTTCTCTTCAAAACTGGAATAACATTCTTGTACTTACCTTCCTTTTAGATGTATTAGATCCCAAAGTCTTATTCCCAACACCATGAAAAACATGTCACAGAAAGAACCTAAAAAGGAATTAAAATGGATACATTATCATATATTTTATAAATCCATTTCTGTCAACATAAACATTGACTAAATCTTGTTTTGATTTCTTACTAAATGTTCACAATAGTATAACATCAACACCTAAGTTTGTAAAATTAAAAGGAAGTCAAAGAATAATGATTTGAATTTCAACTGCATTAAAATCTGCATATTTTACAGAGTTATCTCCCATTGAATTAACAAATCTTGGTGTTTATTGAATTTGTCTCCCCTTGGAAGTTCTATTCCAATCTCAGGATTAACTATTGCTATTTTAATAGAAAATCTTGTTAATATACTTGGTACATGTATCTTTAAATATTAAACTGGTAAAATAATTCTCGGTCCGGTAGCTAGATGTTTTCACTTTTAGTTTTCAGTTTTCTGACTTGGAAAATATGTTCTCACCCTTCACATGGCTACTGTTAGAAAAACATTAATAATGTCTAATACAGTTATTTTTTAATTATTTTTTTTTCTAATTATCCTGATAAGAATTCAACTGGCCAATGTACATGTAATGGTGTATAATATCATACCATAAGTCTTTGCAGGTATTTAAGTTGATTTCTTCTGTGTGTTTTTTCCCATTGAAATCAATAGTCAATACCATATTTTATTTCTTTAAGACAAACAATTACACACATAGGACATATAAAGACCATCAGAAATAATAAATACAGTATTGCAACCTATATATCTCCGTAAGAACTCTGTAATGGAAACAAATAATAAAGATTAGTGATGTTTGAAAAATTGTTGTCACTTCTATCAAAGCAGGCTCTCTTAAAAGCTTACAGAAGATTTAGCTTCATCTGTGATAAAAATAAAATATATAGAGTATAGAGTATATAGTATAGAGTTACGGAAATCTATATGCCACTCTCCCTGGTCTGTTAGCCATATTCAAGGTTGACGACTGAAACATCCTCTCTAAGCTGAATCAGCAAAAATCCAAAATTACAAATTAAACATCTGTGAGTGAACTCTGAAATGAAATATAAATATATATACAACTATACACATGCGGAACCATAGCTCTTAGGTCCTTATGATATTTATTGAGCATAGATGGTCCTCAAATCGTCAAAAATATCATAAAGACCTATTAAAGAGCTATGGTTCCGCAGCTACCTTACCATCAATTCTTTGAAGTAACCTACATAAAAAATAAATATATATACAACCATATACATGAAAATATATAAAATGAAATAGATCAATCAACCTTACTATAAGCTGCGGAACCATAGCTCTTAGGTCATTATGATATTTATTGAACATAGATGGTCCTCAAACAGTCAAAAAATATCATAAAGACCTAAGAGCTACAGTTCCGCAGCTACCTAACCATCAATTCTTTGAAGTAACCTATATAAAAAATAAATATATATACAACCATACACATGAAAATATATAAAATGAAATAGATCAACCAACCTTACTATTTAAGCTACAAACTGTAGCTCTTAGGTCCTTATGATATTTATTGAACATAGATGGTCCTCAAATAGTCAAAAAATGTCATAAAGACCTAAGAGCTACCATTCCGCATCTACCTTACCATCAATTCTTTGTAGTAACCTATATAAAAAAAAAATATATATACAACCATATACATGAAAATATATAAAATGAAATAGATCAATCAACCTTACTATTAGCAGCAGAACCATAGCTCTTAAGTCTTTATATTTATTGAACATAGATGGTCCTCAAATAGTAAAAAAATATCATAAAGACCTAAGAGCTACGGTTCCACAGCTACCTTACCATCAATTCTTTGAAGTAACCTATATAAAAAATAAATATATATACAACCATACACATGAAAATATATAAAATGAAATAGATCAACCAACCTTACTATTTAAGCTGCAAACTGTAGCTCTTAGGTCCTTATGATATTTATTGAACATAGATGGTCCTCAAATAGTAAAAAAATATCATAAAGACCTAAGAGCTACGGTTCCGCAGCTACCTTACCATCAATTCTTTGAAGTAACCTATATAAAAAATAAATATATATTCAACCATATACATGAAAAAATATAAAATGAAATAGATCAACCAACCTTACTATTTAAACTGCAAGCTGTAGCTCTTACTTCCTTATGATATTTATTGAACATAAATGGTCCTCAAATATTCAAAAAATATCATAAAGACCTAAGAGCTACGGTTCCGCAGCTACCTTACCATCAATTCTTTGAAGTAACCTATATAAAAAATAAATATATATACAACCATACACATGAAAATATATAAAATGAAATAGATCAACCAACCTTACTATTTAAGCTGCAAACTGTAGCTCTTAGGTCCTTATGATATTTATTGAACATAGATGGTCCTCAAATAGTCAAAAAATATCATAAAGACCTAAGAGCTACGGTTCCGCAGCTACCTTACCATCAATTCTTTGAAGTAACCTATATAAAATATAAATATATATACAACCATATACATAAAAATATATAAAATAAAATAGATCAATCAACCTTACTATCAGCAGCGGAAGCATAGCTCTTAGGTCCTTATAATTATTGAACATAGATGGTCCTCAAACAGTCAAAAAATATCATAAAGACCTAAGAGCTACGGTTCAGCAGCTACCTTACCATCAATTCTTTGAAGTAACCTATATAAAAAAATAAATATATATGCAACCATATACATGAAAATATATAAAATGATATAGATCAATCAACCTTACTATTAGCTGCGGAACCATAGCTCTTAGGTCCTTATGATATTTATTGAACATAGATGGTCCTCAAATAGTAAAAAAATATCATAAAGACCTAAGAGCTACAGTTCCGCAGCTACCTTACCATCAATTCTTTGAAGTAAACTATATGAAATATAAATATATACAACCATATTCATGAAAATATATAAAATGAAATAGATCAACCAACCTTACTATTTTAGCTGCGTAACCATAGCTCTTAGGTCCTTATGATATTTATTGAACAAAGATGGTCCTCAAATAGTCAAAAAATATAAAGGCCTAAGAGCTACGGTTCCGCAGCTACCTTACCATCAATTCTTTGAAGTAACCTATATAAAAAATAAATATATACAACCATATTCATGAAAATATATAAAATGAAATAGATCAATCAACTTTACTATTAGCTGCAGAACCATAACTCTTAGGTCCTTATGATATTTATTGAACATAGATGGTCCTCAAATAGTAAAAAAATATTATAAAGACTTAAGAGCTACGGTTCAGCAGCTACCTTACCATCAATTCTTTGAAGTAACCTATATAAAAAATAAATATATATACAACCATACACATGAAAATATATAAAATGAAATAGATCAACCAACCTTACTATTTAAGCTGCAAACTGTAGCTCTTAGGTCCTTATGATATTTATTGAACAAAGATGGTCCTCAAACAGTCAAAAAATATCATAAAGACCTAAGAGCTATGGTTCCGCAGCTACCTTACCATCAATTCTTTGAAGTAACCTATATGAAATATAAATATATACAACCATATTTATGAAAATATATAAAATGAAATAGATCAACCAACCTTACTATTAGCTGCGGAACCATAGCTCTTAGTCTTAGGTCCTTATGATATTTATTGAAGATAGATGGTCCTCAAACAGTCAAAAAATATCAGAGACCTAAGAGCTACGGTTCCGCAGCTACCTTACCATCAATTCTTTGAAGTAACCTATATGAAATATAAATATATACAACCATATTTATGAAAATATATAAAATGAAATAGATCAACCAACCTTACTATTAGCTGCGGAACCATAGCTCTTAGGTCCTTATGATATTTATTGAACATAGATGGTCCTCAAATAGTCAAAAAATATCATAAAGACCTAAGAGCTACTGTTCAGCAGCTACCTTACCATCAATTCTTTGAAGTTACCTATATAAAAAATAAATATATATACAACCATATACATGAAAATATATAAACTGAAATAGATCAACCAACCTTACTATTTAAGCTGCAAACTGTAGCTCTTAGGTCCTTATGATATTTATTGAACATAGATGGTCCTCAAACAGTAAAAAAATATCATAAAGACCTAAGAGCTATGGTTCCCTAGCTACCTTACCATCAATTCTTTGAAGTAACCTATATGAAATATAAATATATACAACCATATTCATGAAAATATATAAAATGAAATAGATCAACCAACCTTACTATTAGCTGCGGAACCATAGCTCTTAGGTCCTTATGATATTTATTGAACATAAATGGTCCTCAAATAGTAAAAAAATATCATAAAGACCTAAGAGCTACGGTTCAGCAGCTACCTTACCTTCAATTCTTTGAAGTAACCTATATAAAAAATAAATATATATACAACCATACACATGAAAATATATAAAATGAAATAGATCAACCAACCTTACTATTTAAGCTGCAAACTGTAGCTCTTAGGTCCTTATGATATTTATTGAACATAGATGGTCCTCAAATAGTCAAAAAATATCATAAAGACTTAAGAGCTACGGTTCCACTGCTACCTTACCATCAATTCTTTGAAGTAACCTATATAAAAAATAAATATATATACAACTATATACATGAAATTATATAAAATGAAATAGATCAACCAACCTTACTATTTAAGCTGGAAACTGTAGCTCTTAGGTCATTATGATAATTATTGAACATGTGTCCTTAAATAGTCAAAAAATATCATAAAGACTTAAGAGCTATGGTTCCACAGCTACCTTACCATCAATTCTTTGAAGTAACCTATATAAAAAATAAATATATATACAACCATACACATGAAAATATATAAAATGAAATAGATCAACCAACCTTACTATTAGCTGCGGAACCATAGCTCTTAGGTCCTTATGATATTTATTGAACATAGATGGTCCTCAAATAGTCAAAAAATATCATCAAGACCTAAGAGCTACTGTTCCACAGCTACCTTACCATCAATTCTTTGAAGTAACCTATATAAAAAATAAATATATATACAACCATACACATGAAAATATATAAAATGAAATAGATCAACCAACCTTACTATTTATAGCTAAGGAACCATAGCTCTTAGGTCCTTATGATATTTATTGAACATAGATGGTCCAGAAATAGTCAAAAAATTTCATAAAGATCTAAGAGCTACGGTTCTGCAGCTACCTTACCATCAATTCTTTGAAGTAACCTATATAAAAAATAAATATATATACAACCATATACATGAAAATATATAAAATGAAATAGATCAACTAACCTTACTATCAGCAGCGGAAGCATAGCTCTTAGGTCCTTATAATTATTGAACATAGATGGTCCTCAAACAGTCAAAAAATATCATAAAGACCTAAGAGCTAAGGTTCCGCAGCTACCTTACCATCAATTCTTTGAAATAACCTATATAAAAAATAAATATATATACAACCATACACATGAAAATATATAAAATGAAATAGATCAACCAACCTTACTATTAAAGCTGCAAACTGTAGCTCTTAGGTCCTTATGATATTTATTGACCATAGATGGTCCTCAAATAGTAAAAAAATATCATAAAGACCTAAGAGCTACAGTTACGCAGCTACCTTACCATCAATTCTTTGAAGTAACCTATATAAAAAATAAATATATACAACCATATTCATGAAAATATATAAAATGAAATAGATCAATCAACCTTTCTATTAGCTGCAGAACCATAGCTCTTAGGTCCTTATGATATTTATTGAACATAGATGGTCCTCAAACAGTCAAAAAATACCATAGAGACCTAAGAGCTACGGTTTTGCAGCTACCTTACCATCAATTCTTTGAAGTAACCTATATGAAATATAAATATATACAACCATATTCATGAAAATATATATAAAATGAAATAGATCAACCAACATTACTATTAGCAGCTGAACCATAGCTCTTAGGTCCTTATGATATTTATTGAACATAGATGGTCCTCAAATAGTCAAAAAACATCATAAAGACCTAAGAACTACGGTTCAGCAGCTACCTTACCATCAATTCTTTGAAGTAACCTATATAAAAAATAAATATATATACAACCATATACATAAAAATATATAAAATAAAATAGATCAATCAACCTTACTATCAGCAGCGGAAGCATAGCTCTTAGGTCCTTATAATTATTGAACATAGATGGTCCTCAAACAGTCAAAAAATATCATTAAGACCTAAGAGCTACGGTTCCGCAGCTACCTTACCATCAATTCTTTGAAGTAACCTATATAAAAAATAAATATATATACAACCATACACATGAAAATATATAAAATGAAATAGATCAACCAACCTTACTATTTAAGCTGCAAACTGTAGCTCTTAGGTCCTTATGATATTTATTGAACATAGATGGTCCCGAAATAGTCAAAAAATAGCATAAAGACCTAAGAGCTATGGTTCCGCAGCTACCTTACCATCAATTCTTTGAAGTAACCTATATAAAAAATAAATATATATACAACTATATACATGAAAATATATAAAATGAAATAGATCAACCAACCTTACTATTTAAGCTGCAAACTGTAGCTCTTAGCTCCTTATGATATTTATTGAACATGTGTCCTTAAATAGTCAAAAAATATCATAAAGACCTAAGAGCTACGGTTCCACAGCTACCTTACCATCAATTCTTTGAAGTAACCTATATAAAAAATAAATATATATACAACCATACACATGAAAATATATAAAATGAAATAGATCAACCAACCTTACTATTTAAGCTGCAAACTGTAGCTCTTAGGTCCTTATGATATTTATTGAACATAGATGGTCCTCAAATAGTCAAAAAATATCATAAAGACCTATGAGCTACGGTTCCACAGCTACCTTACCATCAATTCTTTGAAGTAACCTATATAAAAAATAAATATATATACAACCATACACATGAAAAAATATAAAATGAAATAGATCAACCAACCTTACTATTTAAGCTGCAAACTGTAGCTCTTAGGTCCTTATGATATTTATTGAACATGTGTCCTTAAATAGTCAAAAAATATCATAAAGACCTAAGAGCTACGGTTCCACAGCTACCTTACCATTAATTCTTTGAAGTAACCCATATAAAAAATAAATATATATACAACCATACACATGAAAATATATAAAATGAAATAGATCAACCAACCTTACTATTTAAGCTGCAAACTGTAGCTCTTAGGTCCTTATGATATTTATTGAACATAGATGGTCCTCAAATAGTAAAAAAATATCATAAAGACCTAAGAGCTACGGTTCCGCAGCTACCTTACCATCAATTCTTTGAAGTAACCTATATAAAAAATAAATATATATACAACCATATACATGAAAAAATATAAAATGAAATAGATCAACCAACCTTACTATTTAAGCTGCAAACTGTAGCTCTTAGGTCCTTATGATATTTATTGAACATAGATGGTCCTCAAATATTCAAAAAATATCATAAAGACCTAAGAGCTACGGCTCCGCAGCTACCTTACCATCAATTCTTTGAAGTAACCTATATAAAAAATAAATATATATACAACCATATACATGAAAATATATAAAATGAAATAGATCAACCAACCTTACTATTTAAGCTGCAAACTGTAGCTCTTAGGTCCTTATGATATTTATTGAACATAGATGGTCCTAAAATAGTCAAAAAATATCAAATAGACCTAAGAGCTACGGTTCAGCAGCTACCTTACCATCAATTCTTTGAAGTAACCTATATAAAAAATAAATATATATACAACCATACACATGAAAAAATATAAAATGAAATAGATCAACCAACCTGACTATTTATAGCTGCGGAACCATAGCTCTTAGGTCCTTATGATATTTATTGAACATAGATGGTCCTCAAATAGTCAAAAAAATATCATAAAGACCTAAGAGCTACGGTTCCACAGCTACCTTACCATCAATTCTTTGAAGTAACCTATATAAAAAATAAATATATATACAACCATTTACATGAAAAAATATAAAATGAAATAGATCAATCAACCTTACTATTAGCTGCGGAACCATAGCTCGTAGGTCCTTATATTTATTGAACATAGATGGTCCTCAAACCGTCAAAAAATATCATAAAGACCTAAGAGCTACGGTTCCACAGCTACCTTACCATCAATTCTTTGAAGTAACCTATATGAAATATAAATATATACAACCATATTCATGAAAATATATAAAATGAAATAGATCAATCAACCTTACTATTAGCAGCGGAACCATAGCTCTTAGGTCCTATGATATTTATTGAACATAGATGGTCCTCAAACAGTCAAAAAATATCATAAAGACCTTAGAGCTACGGTTCCACAGCTACCTTACCATCAATTCTTTGAAGTAACCTATATAAAAAATTAATATATATACAACCATACACATGAAAATATATAAAATGAAATAGATCAACCAACCTTACTATTTAAGCTGCAAACTGTAGCTCTTAGGTCCTTATGATATTTATTGAACATATGTCCTCAAATAGTCAAAAAATATCATAAAGACCTAAGAGCTACGGTTCGGCAGCTTCCTTACCATCAATTCTTTGAAGTAACCTATATATAAAATAAATATATATACAACCATACACATGAAAATATATAAAATGAAATAGATCAACCAACCTTACTATTTAAGCTGCATACTGTAGCTCTTAGGTCCTTATGATATTTATTGAATATAGATGGTCCTCAAATGGTCAAAAAATATCATAAAGACCTAAGAGCTACGGTTCCGCAGCTACCTTACCATCAATTCTTTGAAGTAACCTATATAAAATATAAATATATATACAACCATATACATGAAAATATATAAAATGAAATAGATCAACCAACTTTACTATTTAAGCTGCAAACTGTAGCTCTTAGGTCCTTATGATATTTATTGAATATAGATGGTCCTCAAATAGTCAAAAAATATCATAAAGACCTAAGAGCTACGGTTCCGCATCTACCGTACCATCAATTCTTTGAAGTAACCTATATAAAATATAAATATATATACAACCATATACATGAAAATATATAAAATGAAATAGATCAACCAACGTTACTATCAATTCTTTACTTAGGGAAGGTTTGACATTTTTTTTTAAAAGTGTTAAACCCATCCATTTGCTCATGTGCTTGTCAGAATTTGGTGTTCATATAAGTTCTTTGTTTTTTTCTGTTCATTTTATTCACGACTCTTTTAGCCTTGAATCAAATTTACACGTT